CTTGCGGGCCGCCTATCCTTCATCTAAGAAGCGCAATTGTAGGTAATTCTGAAAACGAGACCTCAGGTCTCGTTTGGGAGAGCACATCCCAACCTCTCCTTCCAACCAAGTCCAAGGTTCCAATTAGGCAACCGGTGCTCAGGTTGGGAAGTGACGTACTTTACATCTACTACTGGCAGGGGAAACAAACTTCAGTACGTGGTATGTTACCCTTTGTGCCATTGGTGTATCCAACCGTTAAGTCATTGTCTACTAAAAAGAAGTCACATCGCCATCCGTTTTTGGATGGTCAGAACATGAAGAATGCATTCCCAACAACAATAGATCCTGCACAGAGGGCTATTAATCGCAGAGGCGTTACCTACAAAATGGGACCTGCAGGTGCCCAAGTTTCAACTAAAACCAGCTAAAACGAGATAAGACTAGGATAAGAGGTGGAATATCAAAATGCTAGATTGTTAACGCTAATCCAAATAGAGCAGTATAAGTCACCAAAAAAGAGGATCACCGTAAAGAATCCGTCGCCACATCCCAATCTTTGATAGGTCCAACAATGGAGTGGAAAAGGAGGGATTCAAAGAAAGAGAGGAAAGGGGGTCACTCCCCGGTCGAACAACCGTCAGAGGAAGTCACGTATGAATGGTAGAGACAAAGATGAACATGACAAGCATGTGGAGTCTCTGAAGGATAGTGAGAAGGTCACTTTCTACATTAGCTTTTACGAGGAGGAGAAAAAGAAGAATGAGGAAAGCGACAAGGAGGAGCCTGAAGAGGAATGGGAACCTGACAACTTCGATCTGGAAGAGGCCCTTGGCAAACACACCAAGGGGAGTAATGATTATATAGCAGCTTTCGGCTGTTTCAAGAAGAATACCTGGATTGACAAGCAGTTTAGCAGCGAGAAATCGGAGGAAACCATTGCCTATCTTGTACTGGATCGACTGGCAAGAAGGCCTTCTTGTGGACCGGCGACCGTAAGAAGGACAAGGGTAAGTTCTCGCTACTCGATCGGGAACCTTTTGGTTGTCTAATTGCCCCATGCACCTGACCATATCTGGAACCGTTTGTCTTCTCTTTCTTTACAGAGATCAAGGAAAGGCGCGCAGCATGGGTTGCCCATAGGAAAGATGCTATCCGGCAATCATGAACGAGCATCGCAACTTCGTCGTGAACAAGATGTACATCAAGACCGGGGACTTTTGTGCTGCACATGGACTCGACAAGATGCCAACTTCGGAACAGCTCAAAGCTGTGGTTATGCGGGAGGTTCCTCTTGAAGACCTTGCCAAGATGCCAGTGCACAAGAAAAGGCAGCGCTTGAGGAAATCAAGCTGCATTCTTCCCTTTACACAGAGAAGCTTTTGCCATTTGTTGCTGGTGCATCCAGCTGGTTTAGGGAGTCAATCCGCCACAACGAGTTGATTAGTGTGGCCAAGTGGAAGGGAAGGCTGTGTGTTCCTCCCGGGTCTGAGGCAATGACCCTCCTCATCTACGAGAACTCCTACACCAGATGGAACCTTTGCTTCCAGCCTGGGAACATTGACTGTGGCAGAAAGAAAGGGACTGCCCCCAAGAGCAGCAAGGAATCGGAGACACAAAAGTTTGCTACCAAGTACTCAAACTCCAAGGTGGGCAATGCCAAGTATGGAGGTTGGTCAAATGCAGGCCGAAGGCGCTACAATGCCCTCAAGCTTGAGGTTCAGGATGCCCGTGCCAAGCCCAATGGCCAATATGCAGAACAACAAATGCTAAAATGGATGTTGCAATATTGTGGAAAGGAATACCACCAGCCCGATCCGGTTGCCGTGAACAAGAAGAAGAAGAAGAGGGCAGCGTTCCTACGTTGATCTGGTGGACTGTGACTAGGGTCCTTCCAGTTGTCAATTGGCAGCCAAAGCCGCATTGAATGGGAAGCCCTGGCCGCCTTTGATTCCCGCTTGGTGTCTTTTTGGCAGGCTTTTGTGAGAAATTTGTTGCCCAGTTCTCTCTGTTCGGAAGCCTTCCGGTGCTTTTTCGGTACCCATTGCCTCCCTTTTCTTTTGCTGATCTTGTTAATTTGGTCGGGGTGGTTGCCGATCTGGTAGCCTTTTTCACCCTTTTCCACCCCTTTCACCATGAGGATCTTTTACGGTGATCCTTTTTTGGTGACTCAGTACTGCTCTATTTGTATTAGCTTTAACAATCTAGCATTTTGAATATTCCCACTCTTATCCTAGTCTTATCTTCGTTTTAGCTGGTTTTAGTGTGAACCTTGGCCACCTGCAGGTCCCATTTTGGTAGGTAACGCCTCTGCGATTAATAGCCCCTCTGTGCAGGATCTATTGTTGTTGGAATGCATTCTTCATGTTCTGACACATCACCAAAACGGATGGCGATGTGACTTCTTTTTAGTAGACAATGACTTACGGTTGATACACCAATGGGCACAAAGGGTAACATACCACGTACTGAGTTGTTTCCCTGCCAGTGTAGATTGTAAAGGTACGTTCACTTCCCAACCTGGAGCACGTGTTGCCTAATTGGAACCTTGGACTTGGTTCGGAAGGAGAGGTTGGGATGTGCTTCCCCAAACGAGACCTGAGGTCTCGTTTCAGAATTACCTACAATTGACGCTTCTTAGATCAGGGAACTTGGTGATGTACCAGTGAAGAAGCTTGGCTTTGAGGGTCTCAATCTTGCTGAGAGAGAAGGTCTGTAAATATCTTCTGCAGAAAGAGCCAAGAGAAGCTGGGCCCATTGTGCTTGGCTCGAGGGACATATGATTTCAATTTTCCTGGAGTGCATCAGTGCAAGATACAAGACAGCCTTTCCCGACCAGCAAGGTTGGTTAGATCATACTGGCAGACAGAGTGTGGCTTCAGAGTCCCAGATCGATGAATCCAACCCCATTTACTGTGAGATCCTGATGCCATTTGTCCATCATAGATTACTGAAACCTGTCCAGGGAGCAGTGAACATTTAATTTTGTTAATGGTGTTAGTATTAAGATCTCCAACAACAAGCTCTAAAGATCCCTTCCATTCCATGCTCACCATCATACTTTCAAAGGCGAAGAGAGGCTAACACATGGGATCCAGAGGCATGGACTCAGTCAAAGTAGAGAAAGGAGACTGGGGGAATCTTCAGTCCTTTCTTGCATGACAATTCAATTGGCTGGAGTGTAGTGTGGTGTGATGTTTTAGATGGTCGTCACCATGAAACCCTGAGGCATAGGGTGCTTTGAGGTTCCTTTCCCAGTCCATCTGAGCAGATCCTGTCCAGGCTCCAGTGTGGTTGATACACTCCAAGCCGAGGGACTTCTGTAAGCTTGGTCTTTCCTGTTACCAATGTGTTGGAGGAGCTCCTGATTGAGCTGTGGTCAAGGTGCTGTAGTCATGGTTGAAGATCAGATGGTGGGATGACTTGGATCAGATTCAAAGAAAGGCTTGTCTGAATCCCTGTGGACTGAACAAGGATGGCGCTGGTACGGTTGAAGGAGTTGAGATGAAGGAATGCTGAAGATAAAGGAAGCGTCGTCAAGGTCATTATAGCTGATGGAATAGGAGGCAGTGAAAATCAACAGGTCAACAGTGCGGCAATGGCAACAAGAGCATGGCAACAGGAGGAGGAGAGCGGTGGATAATGAGCAGTTGGATCTGACGTTGAGGTTGAGGCCCACCCCGAATTGTTTGGCAAATTCAAATTTAAATTTAACAGCGACAGCGCGTTGTTATCTTTCAAACGACCAACTGCAAGCCAGTTCAAACGACCGACTGCAACAGCAAGCCAGCAACCGGAGGAACGGCCAATAATAGGGGGTAAAGTGGCTCCGGAAGCATGACTCAATGCATGACACACAAGCCGAGTCGTCAAAATAATAGGATCCTCATCGCGATTTCGATCGACAACAGGATAAAGAACAAGGGGAACAAGTGGATTGCTTACGAGCGAATCAACAAAAAGGGGATTGCTTGCGAGCGAATCCAAGGTATCGACAAAGGGTCATATGGATCCAATCGACAGATTGAGTTGCAATAAGGGGAAGGACTACCGATGAAGATAATGAGAGGAAACTCAGGACTCTGCACCAAGGGATAGCTCATTCCATTGACAACATAAGGGATAGACATATAAGAATAAGAATGAGTAACATCTCATAACCTCGCATGCTACCATGCGACAATACCATTGTGGATGATTAATCTAACGATCTAAGAGATGTAAAGTTGTATTTCCAAAATAAGTAGCAGTTATTGATTATTTTCTAGAATAGGCCCGCAATTTATAAAGCTGTAAAGCTGAATTGTAAGCTGTATCCCGTCGCAAGGCCAGGAGCTCTAGAGCGAAGTGGTGCTGACAGTGCGAAAGCTTCGTTTCACCAACAGGAAAGAAACTTGGGAGCCAGGCCAATGTATGCTGCGGCAAAGCATGGACTTGAGCGGCTACAAGGGAAATGGAAAGAGAGGCCAAAACAAAAGGAAATCATCGCCCGCCAAAGGGAGTCACAAGAAGTAATGAACTCTGGTCTACTACGTCCGGTTCCGGTGCCGTACGAGGCAGCAGGCAAACTGTGGAGGTGCTTTCCACTGCCGCTGATGCCCAAGCAATACCAGTACCGGTACATGTACACTTGTACCGTACCGGTACCGGTAGTGGTACGGTAGCTTTTAAAAGGGGACTGCGTGGCAAATATTTCTTTATCCATCAGAATACTTGTTGGATCCGATCATGTGCCCAGAGCCACGAACAGTTCCCAAAATAGACGACTAGCCCTTCGAGGTTCACCATTGTTGCCAAGCTTGCTTGCATCTGGCTAGTTACTGCATGGCTTCGCAGCCAACCAACACACAATTCCCAACTACCGCTGCATGGGCAGTATTATATCAATCATAGGCGTTCAAATGGCTGTCTAATGTTTTATCCAGGTAGATGTGGTTAGAAGCGGTGTGGTTCGTCGTATAAATGTACAAGAAGGCATGAATTGCTTTAGCCCGATGAGATTCGAGGAAGTCCGGGTTTCTCTACCACCGTGCATATAGCCGTTCGCTTTGAAACTCTGTGGCTGCTGCTGATACGAGTTCTTCTTGGATGTGACTCAGGCGCCTTGCTCCAAGTGCCTGTGTGCAGCTTGATCGAAAGCTATTCTTGTTCTTTTGCAAGGTTTCCTGCAAATATCTGGATCGAAACTCGGACAGCGCTGCTTGTGCATCATCCACCACATAATGATCTGGCTTGAGCCCAGCTGTCTCGTAGTGCTCGAGAGACTTTTCTAGCAGACTGATCGCTTGAGGAAGATTGCCACTCATACCATAGGACAGACCGAGACGGTTCTCGGTGATGGCAATATTTAATGGGTCTCGAGTGGACGATGTCTGTAACCACAATGCCTTGAGATAGGATTGAATGGAACAGGCGTACCGTCTTTGCTGCACTCTCAGCAGGCCCACGTAGGAATGGATTTGCGCCACTGCCTTGGGAGGTAGTTCTTGATCCGAGCCGTTCAGAATGGCACCAAACATCTCCACAATCTCATTGAGCTCGTCGTCCGTGTGTGTTCGTGTGGCAAGGCCGGAAAAGTTCTCTCGCGCTACCGCGGCAATCTCGGCGTCTTGGGTATACTCGGCCACCAGGAACATGAGAAAGTTTTCCAGTTCTTGAAAGACTAGCTTGACTGTAACTCCGGAGAAGGAGTTGCGGCGGATGCGCTCGGATAGACTTCTAGATAACACCTCCATCTTTTGGAATCTCAATCAATCTCTGCTTCTGTTCTACAAACAAAACTAACTATGGGAACGCTGTGGTTGGTGTTGGGATTGAATGGATTGAAGCGAAGAAATAAGTGGGAACTTGTCAGCCTGCAAACTGTCAGATTATGGAGCTCTCTTCGCCTCCCTGACTCCTCTTCTGGGTCTCTGCGCTACCGAATGGATAGTTGTAGTCGTTAAGCAACCTTTGAGTGAACTGCTTGGATCGCTGAGTTGGGATCGGTAGAGAATAGCGCTGAATGATGGAGCATCAGTAACTCCAGAGTCCAGAGACGTCGTGAAAATGTAATAAAAATGGTGACCGTGCAGACTGGCAAACCCCAGCAACGTCTCACCGTCTCGTCTCAACAGCTCCTCAACCACATCTTAAATAGCATCCTACTTTGAGAAGAAATCCTATAAATGTTCATGGTGGCGAAAGCATAAGCAATTGTTAACATCCAACCGACCCTCGATTGTTTAGGGTACCTCTTCTCCCTATTTAATTATGGATCATGGGTGCAAGGTTCACAGCTGCATTTAGCAGGTTGCTGTGAAACGAATTGTCTCGGTAAGATGAATGTGGCGGTGGATAATAGCCTCGAAAGCTTACCACGTGGTTATCTTCGTGACGCTTGGGCTGGGCAACTCTGTGCATTGTTTGAACTGGGGCAATGCGAATACCAAGAATATTGCTTAGCTGCTTGGAGGTGTTTAGGAAGCAACTGGATTGTTCTCTCTGGATGTTTGTGTGCAAGCAAACAGAGCCGTGCACGACCCATGTTATCTGCAAGCTTCCGCTTAAATCACCTCTCCTCCTGGAAAAAGTATTCAATCTTGATGAGCTCTTTATGTTCATCAAGCTGCATGTATGAATACAGAACATGTACAAGTATGTTTAGCTAGCTACGTCCGGTACCGGTTACAGGTACTTAGTAGACTACATGTAGTGGCTGGGGCTTGATGATTGCTTGGTGTCTTGGTGTAGGTGGCGGTGCCCGAGGGAGTAGCCAACGGTACCTACCGGTAGCTAGCTCTAGAGCACTGGTAGCTAGGGTTGGTGCTTTTTACTTCAACAACTGATTGAGCAAGTGGTGATGTTAGAGGGCCGCTCGTGTGAAGGTAAAGTAGACTATCAGGTACCATCGGTATCGGTACTTGGAGAGTGGCTGGAGAGACCTTCGAAGTGTGATACCGGTAGCAACAAGCGAAACGAGATGGTTTGATCCACTCAGCGGTCTTTATTAGCTTACTTTTCTGAGTAGGAGTAGTCTAGCTTTTTGGTGATCCTTTTCTTCGGGATACCTTTTAAAAGAGAGGCCCGCCAGTATACAATACATGTTGCACCCAAACCTGGCCAGCCCAGCCCTTGAAACAATTGGCCAGCCCAGCCCTTGAAACTGGTAATCCTTGAAACTGTCCAGCCCAGCCCTTCTTGAAACATAAAAAGTGATGGAGATCGCTCTGGATGGGCCGGTCAAGACAGAGAGGCAGAAAAAGAGAAGGTTGCCGCATTGCGATATCGCTAAACAGCCTTTGCTCGGCGAAATAGGCCGAGGATGGAGACAGAGCAGTTTAGTGTTGCTGGTAGAGAGCTGTTATTACTCCAAGTAGAGCACAGAGCCTCGCCCAATCCATGAAACTGCGAACCTGAAGAATAGAAAGGTCGCTCTGGACAATACGCCGGTCCGATAAAGAAGCAGAGCAAGAGGAGTGCTACGAGCGATATCGCCAGCTAGCTAGACAGTAGATACATTTAGCTATTTCAAGATATTTCAGGCTTGGGCTGAGAGGTGAGTGTTGCAGGTTGTACCAGTGGCGTCGGAGGACTGTTAGTTTTTTATGCAAAGACGCCATTCCTGCTTGTACACAATACCTTTGCTTCCCCGCTCGTGAACGCGTTCAAAAGAAGCCACCAGAACAATGGAGCTGAGCCCAGAAGATCAGGAAAATCTTGCTGCTCTAGCCAGAGCTAGTTAGTCTACTAGCTAGGGGTGTGGGCTTGTGAGGCGAGGTCCTATCCATTCTCCATGTGTGTCCTCCGTGCATTCGCGAAACACATTTATTTTCGTCGATTTATTTAGTTGTACGAATCAAGATTTCATTCCTATCCACATACATTGGTTCGCACGTTCTGCCAAAACGCAATCACCGTACGTCAGGAAAACTGGTGAAAATCGCATATGATTGTTCTTTGATAGAATCTCGTGATCCACCAGGATTGATGTGGATCAACCAGGATTCGTTGGGTGACTGACGACTGACGTTTTCGGAAGCTCGGCTGGCTCTAAGCGAAATCCATTTCCACGAAAGCTGCGGTACGGCGAATTGAGAATGTGAAATCAATGGTTCGCCGTACCGCAGCTTTCGTGGAAATGGATGGAAAGCAAGCCGATTTTAACAGTTAAATCGATTTCACGAACGAAGGGAGGAATAAAGAGGCTTAAATAGCTGGTTAGGACCCTGCCTGAGTGCTTGAGGGCTGATACGGTATGATACATCGCACTGCTGCTGCTCGAGCTGGCAGGGAGCAGCAAACAAACATGAAGTACTGTATCGTAATAGCAACTCAAACTCTGCTTTGTCGCGTTGCCACCGCATTCTTAGGAATCGAATCGCATAATAAGGTACCGGTGCCTCTTGGGTCCAAACGTCCTAAGACATCCTGCAGCGCTTGCTGCTTCTTGCATGCACCTTTCATTGCTCTATGGTCCCTGCTTTTGCACAATTGATCCCGGCGACAGGTTTGAAATAGACGTCACAGTCTCAGATACTAGTAGCTTGCCTAGCTAGTAGCTTGGATGTTAAATCTGTTATTGCATTATTACTGCTATTTATAATCACACCTGATTGAATGTTCGATTCGATTCGATTCGGCTTCCGAGGGAAACGGCAAAAGGGGACTTTCACAAAACCTTGACCATTATTTTTCGATGACAACAACCATACATAGTCTACAATCATACAATACGCCGTCAGAGGAGACAACTGCACCATCCTCGTCCATGTCGGTAGAGTCCCTTGAAGAGAGAGCGTCTGAGATTGTCTTGGCCATCCAAAGATGCGTGGAAAGCCTCCGAAGCATCAAAGAGTTCAATGCCATCAAACCTGCAGTCTTGTGGAGTGCCCTCAAGGCCAATGGCAACGGGAACACCACAAAAGATCCCTTGGATGCGATTGCTGCTGTCGATCTGTACGCCCATTTCCAAGACCAGGGTATCGTGCAAGCTGTTCAGTCCATTATTGCTCGGCATCCGATTGACCACCATGACGCTGCAGCAAGTCCCACGGATCATTCCAGACGTCGGCTTACCATGGAAGTGTTACTGCCGTTGGCGCGATCATTGAGTGACTCGTACGAATCACTGGATCGGATACCAGCAGTTCAACCACAAGACACCCAATCCCCACAAAAGACCACAAGAAAGAAAGCCCCGCCTCCTCCTCCCCCAGGATTGTTGTCCTTGCAGAATTATACCGACATTGGTGCCTTTCTCGAGTTTACCGTATGCACTTCCATCCTACCCTTTTTGCAGCCCAATATTCTGTTTCCCGTACAAGACCGTGCTCGCTATTTTGTACCCAAATCTCTGGCAGGCCGAATTGCACGGCCCAGTTTGCTGTGGGCAAGTCAACAACAACGCACCGTTCCACCCAAGGGGAAGGAAATTGTCTTTTTGCAGCAGCTGGTACAAGATCTCCAAACAACGGTTGTCGTGTTGGGAAAATTGCTCTTGCTGGATCGATTCCGGCCCATGTTGCTGCCAAGACATTTGTCCGATCTGTATGCGGCCATCTTCCAAGCCGAAGCTTACCGCATGCGACTACAGCAAATGACACGACAACAAAAATTAATGAAGACGACAATGGTAGATCCATCTTTTTCTCTGGCCAAAGAATACGACGTGGTCCGAAACCAATTATTGGTACTACCACAACCCACGACAAATAATATTCACAACCGAGTTGATCCAGCCTTGCAGGCACAATCCCTGCAAGCATTGCTGTTACAAGGCACCAAGTCTCCACCTTGGTTGCGACAACGAGTGGCAGCACATTTGACACAACTGGCATCCCGCAATCTATCCGTCATTTTTCAAGTCTTTGTCCATGCGGCACCACCCAAGGACAAGACGGCGGCGAGTCTCCGACTGGCACGCACGTTGATCACACCCTCCTCCGATAATAACAACAATCACCAGTCTCAGTATTTCGATTTGCTGGTCCAGCAAATGATTCAGATACTGGATGGAACGGCACAGGACTGCCATCGTCACAAGACGGATAGTCTCACGCAAAAGCAAACATTGGATATACACACCGTATGGGCCATATTGGATCAACTGCCCACGCAGGAAATGCAAACGAAAATGATGCGACACTTGAGTACGGGCATGCTGACCAATATTAACACGGAAGCAGGTGATGATTCCTCGGTTCATCAAACGGTACAACGAATGGCAATCCTCTTGTCATCCCTGCCTCCGTCCATGAATGCTGCGAATGTGGCAATGGTGCTCTTTCTGCCTCTGGAAGGATCGGCTGCTGATGATGATTCCGAAAGAATCCAATCCACAATCTTTGGACAAATGTTGCGGTTGGCATGCGTACCAGCACCTGTGATCAAAACGAGTTTCCACGATGACGTAACGTTCACAATGAAGCTAGCCCTACATGCTTTGCTACAAAGCAATTTTGCATCATCAGCATCAAAGGTGGATAGTGTTCAAATCGCTGCCATGGCCTTGGTCTATGCAACGGCCCCTTCCGATTGGGACAATGGAGGCAATGTCTACACCATTGATACGGCTGCGTCGTCCGACGGTGCTAGCTTGTCCACCATTAGGATTGTGCAACCGCAAAAGCAATCATCCGATACAACCAGTCAACAACAACAAAAAGACGCGGTCACTTCGTTGGAAAGTCGAGTTGCTCTAGTTTTGAAGTTGATCAACTCTTTGGATTCTACTGGTGCTAATGAAAGTCCAGACACGGATGCGGAGACCCGACGACGACAACGCAGTCTCTCCTCTGCTGTCTTTTACTTTGTGCTCCTACTCTATTTTTCCAACAATCCGCAGAGGCACCGGCTGCCTGTCATCTTTCGCCAAACATCTGGCATGTTCCGCATCGTCGCCATGTGCTTCATTCCTCTATTGTGTGAAACGTGTCCACCGGAAAACCTCCTAAAAACCAGCCAAGATGATGGCGCAGGGATTTTTCAGATGATGCAGTTGGTGTTTGCTTGTGCCGTTCCCTTCTTTTCAGGTGAAAAGATGATACTGATGGAGACGGATGACGGTGCAGAGAATCGTGTTTCCGGTTCGGAGTCTGACGAGCTTGAGGACAAAACATTCATCGGGAGTGGGGATTTCTTTTCTCGAACTATCATGGGGTCGCCTTCATCATCACGTGAACCCGGCAACTCGCAACCGCTTGACGCAGTGAGCAAAGACAGCGACAGCATTGATTCAAGCGATGTTGGCATGATTATCTCCGTCACGTCTCTCATGCTTGGGTTGTTGGTTACCATCATGGACTATGGAACCACGGGCAAGCGTTCCAACAAAGAGGAAGCTATCATTCAATCCTTCCCGTCGCTTTTACATCCCCTCGCGGAAGTATCAGACTTGTCATGGATGAGAGCCACGGTCGATGGGGATGAGGAAGCCACCCATGCGCTTTATTCATCTTGTGGGGAAATAGCCGAGCTGGCTGGCCATGCCTTGGCTCTGCTTGCAGCGCGCCAAGCACCGACTACAGCTGTCGTTGACGACTTCGCGATGGAGCAACAACTCACACCTGAACGTATGATTGAAGCAACTATTCGACAGTCTCAATCTGATCTTTCATCGAATGAAGCACCAATCAGAGCGAAAGGGGTCGTTTCACTGCAAAGATTACTTCGAGGCCATTTGTTTCAGCAACTTCTCGCTGGAGAAGCACGCCAGCAACCAAAGGTTCTTATCGTGGAGGTGGAAGATGATAACGGAGAGAAAGCACAAGGCTTCTTAGAAAGGACTAGCAGCCAGGTGCTGGAGCTCTGCGTCTCTGCAATTTCGGATCCAGAGTCCTACGTCTACTTGGCAGCGATTCAATGTATCGCCACGATGGCTGACATTTGCCCCAGGGATATCATACCGCGCATAGGTCTGTACCTTGCGTCGGGAAAGCAACACGAAGGGCACGAGGACGGCGGTCGGGGTGCAAGTCTTACGTCTGGTCAACGCGTCAAGCTAGCAGAAGCACTCATGTTCTGCATCCGCCGAAGAGCCAAGATCGACGAGTACGTCTCCGTGTTGTTGGATATTATGTTGTTCGGCGAGCAGAGAAAAGGCACAGCAGTGAATCCGGACTTGCTGTCGAACGCCGAGAACGTTGAGACCATTCAGCGTGAAACGCATCAGTACTTTTTGCGAGGCCGGGTGGATGACGACGATGATGATGTGGAAGATCTTGAGGAAAAAGCCGAGAAGCAACGGATAAGAATAAACACAGGTGGACCTGTCTTCCTTGCTGAAGAGACTGATTTGGTCACCGCAGCACGGGTTTCTATCGTATCCGAGCTTCTGCCCGGAACACACCCATCAACTCTGGCACAATACTGCCACGCGCTCGCAACGACAGCAGTTCAGTTGCTGCGTCTGGATGCATCGAGACCCGTTCGACGAGCTGCTGCATTTCTCGCCAGAGAGTTCTACATGGCGCTTCTGCGAGAGCAAACAGAGTTGCTCGAAATGGCGATCAGGGGGGACGTGGATAGTGGTTACCAAACAGATCTCGAACTTTCGACAGCATTGATGGAAACATCTGATGATGAGCTCCTTCGGGCAACATTGACGAGATGTCTGCAAGCGGACGATCTCGATGATTTATCACAAAGGCACCGCGCGTTTGACTCCGCGACTGTCGCTCGTTGCCAGGAAGCGCTTGACACGAGGCAAGAAGCCGTCGATGGCGGTCTCTTTGCTGTTGCTAGGCTTGTAGTGGAGTCGAGGAAACTTCAAGACAAGTTGCCTGCCGCCAACCTTGTTCGTGACTTGTTGCAACAATCAAAGGTGGACCGTCGGGGAGGACTGGGCAAGTTAAGAATGGACGTCGAAACCCTTGAACTGAAGTGAAGCATTTCAATTTGCTAGCTAAACTACTCTAGCTAGGGCCTGACCCCCTACCGTACCATTCCAGCAACCACCTGGAGCCTTACACGCAAATTTCGACTTCACGGACTGCCGCACAAATTTGGGTTTGAGCAGGGATTAAGTCAGCGGGAGCTGCGATACCTCGGCAGAAAGACAGATAGAAGAAGGAGGATCATGTTCGAGATTGCACCCATCTTTCAAGCCAGCCCTGGCGACAACACCCGACTACGTCGTGTGTTGCCGCCCGGTATCATTCATTCCCTCAGTGCAACCTTCTTTATTAAGCTAGCCCTGGCGACAACACCCGACTACGTCGTGTGTTGCCGCCCGCTACTCTATAATTTACCAGCTGCCATTCCCTTATTGTAACTCTAACCTTTACAGCTCCTGCTGGCTTATTGTGCTGTTGTGCTGATTGCACTAACCTTAAATATTAATGATTTATTCCTACCCCTAACTTGTATTGAACCATCAATGTTCAGTTTTGTTGGCTTATGACTATCTCTATCCTTATACTTTGGCTTCACCGGAATAGGAAATAGGAAATAGGTAAGTCAGCGGGAGCTGCGATACCTCGGCAGAAAGACAGATAGAAGAAGGAGGATCATGTTCGAGATTGCACCCATCTTTCAAGCCAGCCCTGGCGACAACACCCAACTACGTCGTGTGTTGCCGCCCGGTATCATTCATTCCCTCATTGCAACCTTCTTTATTTTAAAAGCTAGCCCTGGCGACAACACCCGACTACGTCGTGTGTTGCCGCCCGCTACTCTATAATTTACCAGCTGCCATTCCCTTATGTAATTGTATTCTTTGTAGCCCGCTAACCATAATTTACAGCTGTCATTCCCTTATGTAATTGTATTCTTTGTAGCTTCTGCAGGCTTATTGTGTTGAGTGCACTAACCTTGAATAATCATGATTTATTCCTACCCCTAAATTTGTAGAACCTTCAATTTCCAGTTTTGTTGGCTTAAGACTATCTCTATCCCTATATTTTGGCTTCACCGGAATAGGAAATAGCATTAAAGGGGTTGAGAACTCAGGCAGTTAACCTGCCGAGGTAAATAGAAAATAGGAAATAGGAAATAGGAAATAGCATTAAGTCAGCGGGAGCTGCGATACCTCGGCAGAAAGACAAATAGAAGAAAAAGGATCGTGTTTGAGATTGCATCCTTCTTTCAAGGTAGCCCTGGCGACAACACCCGACTTCGTCGTGTGTTGCCACCTGGTATCATTCCCTCATTATACCTTCTTTTTTATGTAAGCTAGCCCTGGCGACAACACCCGACTTCGTCGTGTGTTGCCGCCCACTATCATTCCCTCATTGTAACCTTCTGTTTTATATTAAGCTAGCATTGGCGTAGCCACGGGCTAACCCATAATTTACAGCTATCATTCGATTGTGTAACTCTAAATTTACAACACCTGCTGGCTTATTGTGTTTTTGTCCTGAGTGCACTAACCTTAAATTACATTGATATATTCCTACCCCTAACTTTTATTGAACCTTCAATTTCCAGTTTTGCCAGCTTACATTATCTCTATCCTTATCCTGGCTTCACCGGAATAGGGGATCCCACAGACACAAAACGAGGGGATCCCACAGACAAAAACCAGGGGGATCCCACAGACAGAATATTTGCCAATAAAGGGGTAGAGGACTCAGGCAGTTAACCTGCCGAGGTTAAAGGGGTTGAGAACTCAGGCAGTTTACCTGCCGAGGTAAACCAGTGGACTGGCAATCTGCGAAGATGTTCTCATCAAAAGCTCAGTTGTGATGGCTGGATATGAGAGACCACAAGGAACAGAAATGGCTCTCAATGGACGTGGTTTGCCAATTTCACCTTACTTTTGAGAAAGACATCCGTAGCTGGGTTCTGGCACTGCAGGACCAGACCAATTCCACATAGTTTTCATTTTCAAACACGTGCCAACTTGAAAGGCAAGGACCCTAGCTAGGACTGAAGATCTGCAAGCTCCTTTTGAATCGTGTCAACTTGCTGTTGCCGAGCAGCCAACTGATTTGGGAGCTCTTGGATGGACTTCTGTTTCATGCTGATCATCCGTTTTTGCTTTTTGATAGCCCTTCTTTGACTGTGGATAATAGCTTTCTTGTGGTGCAGCCGTTCAATCTGGTATTTGATGACTGTTTCCTGGGCAGCAACTAGCTTGCGGAGCTTCCGAAGTTCAGTTTTGCTTTGAGAACCTTTGGCCCTCCTGGAAGCTGGTTGATTGCTTCCCTCATAATGCAAGTCCTCCTCCTCCTCACCCCGGTCTTCTTTCTCCTCACAGTCGCTATCTCCATTGTCCTCCTCACTAGAAACTTCATTCTCTGTGCTGTAACCTTGATTGTCATCCTTGTCTGATTCTTGATCCAGTGTGGTAGCAATCGTTCCCCTGCTTGCAACATTGTCATCACAGATGGATTTGGTGCGGCCCTCTTTCGCAGCATTCTTGGTCCGAGCGGGATTCTTTTTCCTGGTACAAGCTTGCAGTTTGCGACCTCGAAATTTTGTTGCTCCCTTGAGCTTCTTTGCTGGAGGCTTGCTGATCATTTCTTCATCAGACGTTGGTTCCTCTTCAGACTCACCTTCTCCTTTCGTCAACTCAATGTCTCTCATCTCTTCTTCTTCATCATCATCATCATCATCATCACCCAAATCAGAATCATCAGAATCATCAGCAACAATTTTTCTCTTTTGGCCAGCTGCTCCATCCTTCCTGGATGATTGAGATCGGGTACTCTGTCCATTAGAATGTGTGACATGAGAGGAAGAATCGCCATGTACAGCCCAAGTAAAACGAAGCTCTTGTAGCTTTTGAAATCTCTCCTCATTCAGCTTCCCTTTGTTGTGATAGTATCGCTGTGAACAGACCCATCGGCCTAGTTTTCCATCACGCCTTGGATCCTGCAGTGACCATGCCTCTCTTGGAATTCCTTCAGGCTGGCAAACATGGCCAGCCAATCTTCTCCCAACGGATCAGCATAACTTGTTTTGGGTGTCCAAGTGAAACCAAGCTCTTGCAGCTTTTGATATCTCTCCTCAATCAGCTTCCCTTTGTTGTGAGCGGATCGCTGCCTGGAGACCCAACTGCTTAGTTTTCCATCTGCTTTTGGAACCCTGCAGTGACCATGCATTTCTTGGAATTTCTTCAGGTTGGCAAACATGGCCAGCCAATCTCCTCCACGTACAACCCAAGTGAAACCGAGCTCCTGCAGCTTTTGAAATCTCTCCTCAGTCATCTCTCCTCTGTTGTTGTAAAGGGTTCGCTGCGTATTGCCTAGTTTTCCTGAGAATGGCACATTGCAGTGACCATGGCTTTCTTGGAATTTCTTCAATTCAGCATACATTGTTTCCCAAGCTTCATCATGTGAATACCAGCAAAATCCAATGTCATCAAGGGCATCCATTCGATCTTTGGGCATCGTACTTTGATTTTTCCGCTGATTTGACACCCACCTTCCAAGTTCTGACCTTCCAAGTTTTGGAAGAAGGCAAGGAACGCTGCAGTGACCATGCTTCTTCTTGAATTCCTTGAGCTTCTCCAGATTGCCATACCATGCTTCCTCATCTTGGTTGGTACCGGTAGCCATCTTGGAAGAGTATCCTGTTGCAACAGAATACTTGGGCTGTGCTGGTTGCTTTACAAGTTTCTTACCGTGCATCGCCCCCATGGCAAAGATTTTTTTGGATTTTACAGAAAGTTTTAGAATTTCACACTTTTGTTACCCACCACACTTTCAAGACACTTGACACCAAAGATACCTCTGCAACAGCATACCAGTACTTCAGCTGAGCTGCCAATCGATCAACAATCTCTCGTCAGGGCTTGTAAAGTAGCCAGACCGACAGCTCTCGGTGGCGTTGAATTCGTTGTTTAGCTTGCCCATTGTTATACCGGTAGCTTGCCCATTGATTGCTCTCGTCCCGCCACTGGTCCAGTGCGCGTTGCAGTAAGATAATTGGAGACGATGACGCGACGGTATGACCTGTTCGGTTGGCCAGTACTGGTCTTGCTACTATGCACAACGGCAAGTTCCAGTAGTGTGAACCCCAATTTTAGCAAGGTTCCATCAGCCTGGGCAGTTCGCAAGGGATGGAATCTACAAATCCACCATTATCCAACCACGGGGGTAGCCTTGACAGTAAGAGGTGGTGCCAGTGATGCTACTGGTAGAGAAGATAATAGCGACAATCCACCAAAAACTCCACCCGATGGCAAAAAGAAGAAGAGCCAAAAAGGAGCCACCGATAACGAATTGACAGACAACGAAGTTGACGAGGAAGAAGATGAGGATAATTGGCATGATGCTCAAGAAGAGGAAGATATTGATGACATTGCAGCCCTGGAAGAGGAAGAAGACGAAGAAGAGCCGGAAGAGTGGGTAGAGGTATTCGATTCTGACCAAGAAGATAACGAAGAAGAAGAGGATGATGATTTCGTCAAGGTAGAATCCACTGCTACCCCTCTTGTCGATGACGAGGAAGAAGAGGTAGAAGAAGTTTCCTTGGCAGAGGTACTGGTAGACGAAGCCATTGAGGATACCTCCATCGCATTAGATGTCAGCAACGACAATGACGACGATCAGGAAGAAGAGTCGTTTGTCGATGCCTTGGAGGATATCGAAGAACAAGTTGAGGAGGACATTATCGATGACATTGATAGTGTCCTCGTCACTTCCTCACTTTCAACAGCGCCTTCCATCAATACAGATGACGAAAGTTCCTCTGCCAGTGTCGATCGCATGGATCTGGCCGATGCGTATGACGTCGAGGAGGAGGAAGAAGAAGAAGTTGAGGGAGCCGTTCTGGTCACTGGAGACGAAGACGAAGAAGATACCCAGCAATCCACCAGCCCAGCAGCGCCTCAAGAAATTGCACCCGGTGGAGGAGGTACCGACGACGATACCAATGTCGAAACAGCAACAGAAGAACAAGTGGAAGCTGCTGCCGTGGGGGAAACCACACAAGAAATCACACCGGAAATGAAACAGGCCCTCCAGGCATTGCGTTGGAGAAAGCGAGAAATTAAACACATGAGACCCGACATTGCCGCCGCCGTCCTTCACAAACAATTGCAAAGACCGAGGGAAGGGATGCCGGCACTATGGTACACGACAACACCCACCACCAAGACCGTGGGACAATTGGGAAAGGTTCTCAAAACGGTATTGGTACCATTTTGTGTTGGGGTGGCCATTTATGCCGGATCCGAAATTGTGGATTGGAACGATTGTGGCAAGTCCCTTCAGACCATGTCGTCAAAAGTGGCAAGCAGCATTGTACCCAAACAGCCGGTAGTCGAATCGCAGGCAGAATCCACACCGCAAGAGGAAGAAGAAGAAGAAGACAGCAGCGAATCGGTACCAGTGACCCCAGAAGCAGCCGTCACAGAAGAACAACCTGTAAAGGCCACCACAACAGCGGACGACCTACACCCCCATAGCGTGAAACCAGGCTCGCATCAAGTGGAAGATGTACAGGATCATAGCTGGCTCGACAAAATCATTACCAAGTTCGAGAATGCACTGAAAGCTATATGGAACAAAGAACTGTGAAGATACTGTAGGTAATTGAAGGAACTATGTGTCGTACTACGGGTAGGTAGTCTTGTTGTAGTGTACGCATAACGAATGGATGATGGGTTAGTGAAGAAGTGTTTGTGGTTATTCATAGAACCGAATCAGCCAGCTCAAGTTGAGTAAGGTACCTGTGCTTATCTAGCTACGGTAGAGGCGAAACTTATGGATCACTATAATAATCGATGTAAGATCAGATCTTTATCCAGCAGCTAGAAGAGTTTCGGTGTCGTTTCAATAGTGACAACTGTAGACTGCAATGCGGAGCGACGATTACGGCTACCACTACGATACGTTGTCATGTTAACCTTGAATTTGCTTTCGTACTGATTGTAGAAATGCTCTTGTCTAGCTAGTAACAAGTAGTAGTAATGAAGCTGGAAAGGAAACTTATTAGGTTCATGAATCCTCCTTGACTTTGCTCTCGAGAGCCTTTTCGAAAGCCTCCTTTTGTTCTGGCCTCGCATCTAACCACTCTCTCATTTGCACTTGAGGACACAGATACCCTCTGTTCTTCCAACTAGTATAGTAGGGTTGATATTTGGGAGGAGGCCGTGCCTGCTTTGGAAGCAGATATACAGGGTCTTGTTCCTCTGAGGCCACTTGCATGAAACTTTCTGGCCGAATCAAGGATTTCATTCCCAGCCTATTGTAGTGCGTTGTTGTCACTTGTCCTCCTACGTTCTCTGTGTGTTCAATGGCATCCTCGCTGGCTCTGTTGACCACAAGACGCACAGGAGAATGGAACCTTTCCTTTCCCTTTGCCAATAGCTTGACACCGTGCATGGACGCCTTATCCTTGAAAATTCCAGCCTGGATAAAATCTGCAACTCCCAAGACAGTGTTGTTGTCGTCTGATAGTTTCAATCGTCCCATATCAATGTAATCTTGAATGGTTCCCAAATTGAGGACCTCCATATCAGCCAAATTTTTCTTTCGATGATACGTGTTGTTGAAGCCCTTTTTGGGTAGCAGCTTCCAGAACTTGGTCTGTCCACCTTCAAATCCAGTGGGGATACTGCTACGATTCCGAGCTCGCTGTCCCTTGTGACCTTTTCCGGCCGTCTTTCCTTTCGAAGAACCAATTCCTCGTCCCACGCGGCGTTTCTGTACCGTACATCAGTTAGATAGTTGCATAGACGTCGTTAGTGCCAAAGAAGAATTTTTAAAACGCAAGAAAATACACCCACACAATAATATGGGATTCTCACTCACCGTTTTCACAGCTCCAGGATTATCCTGCAAATTGTTCAAATGCAACACAGCAACGTTTTCCTCCTCCTCGTGACGTGCCGAAGATGTGCTGAATGCTTGGGTTGGTATTGGAACTGCCGCACTGATTCGGTTGGACCCGACCAACTTTCTCGTTGCTAACTTTGCGGATGCCGACAGCATATTGTCTTTTTTGCCTGGATACAATATCAAGATAGAGCGACTAAAACTGAATTCGATGCTAGATCTCTAGCAAGACGGAGACAGGAGGGGTACAGTACTTGTTAGGAAGGCGGATTGATGCGGTGGCTTGGCCATTGTGAGCCACTCGATCGTTCGATGTCGCCAAGAAAGCCAGTGAATTTGGTAAACACACATGGCGCGTATTCAATCGTGAAGGCTAGTAGAGTTGGATGTAGGTCTCCACTTTCTTCAGGATGAGGGAAAGCTGTGTCTGTTGAGTCGTAGAGGGCCGAGCCCGTCAATCATGAAAAGAGGGACCAGCTTTCGTTGCCTTCTTTTGACCTTCGGCCAAAACCTTGATAGTTGGCAACAACCCAGCACTTCCAATCAAGCAGCCAGTTGTAAACCAACAAGCACAACAACAAACAACGAAACAGACTTGACCCAAGATAGGAACGCCACTGCAGAGCAGCCCAAGTATTTGAAAGCAAAAGAGAAGTGACAAGATGGTAAGATATCTATCGGGTTGTTCAGTACTTCTAGCTAGATAGTAGGATGAATTGGAATGATCCTTTCGTTGATTAGGTCTTGTTTGCATGCCGTGGGGATGGGATACCCTGCAATTCGACTCGACTCGTACAGAGACGGCAACCACGACGAGGAAGATGGAAAGCACTCCAGCGGCTCTTCATGGTATCGGCCGAGACTAGCTAGTGACTGCGGGTGTTGTTGAAAGTGCGGCACCTCTTTGTGTATTTGCCTCAGTTTCGAACGGTACCTCTATCCTTCCGTCAAGTGACGGTCATTGATTGACCCAGCCACCATAGTTTCAACTACGGGTACTATGCTGAGCGTTTGGGAGAGAGACAGTGTTGTGCAATTGGCGGATTCGACTCATCCAACAACGATCACGGCTTTTGTGATTCCTTCGAGTCTTCTCTATTGCAATTTCCATCTTCTAACGACTTGCTTGCTTGTCTCGTGTTTTTTGTGTAATTCAGGCATCCATGATCACATCGATTCCGTCCATGGTGGCCATGGCAGGGACGTATTGTTGTACGAACGCCGTGGGGTCCATTTGCAACAGTTGTTTGGGCACGACGTTGGAGGGAACGACGGGCCGCAAACGATCGGTCTTGTTGTTGGTCTTTTGTATTTTGGCCTCGCTCTTTTTCCAGTACAAATTGGGACCCGCCGTTGTCAGCGAATCCTCGTGGATTTGGAAAATGTACTCGACGATACCGAGTTTTGGCAGAGTCGTCAACAAGGGATGGAAGAATGCCTGTTTGGAATACGAAGGACAACCCGAAGTCATGGCACAGTGTGCGGGTGTTGGAGGCGTTTACCGTCCCACCTTTTTGGCAACCTTTTTCTTCTTTTTTCATGCCGGAGCTACACGATTGGTACCTGCGTTGCAAAAGGAAGTATGGCCTGCCAAGTATACCGTGTACTTTTTTGCACTCCTCTTGTCTGTATTCTTCCCTACCGATCCACTCTTTGGAGGCTTCTATCTCTTTATTGCCCGTTGTGGAGCCGCGCTCTTTATCATTCTCCAACAACTCATCCTCATTGATGTCGCATACAACTGGAACGAAGATTGGGTCGAACGCGCCAATGAAGCCGATCGACTTGTCTACGGAGACGGCGTTCGATGGTTGCAGGCCATTGTCGCATCCTGTGTTTCCTTTTATGTCGTATGCCTCGTCGCCATTGTCCATTTATACAATGCATTTGGAGATTGTGCCTCCAACGTATGGATCATTACACTCACACTGCTGGGGGTGTGTGCCATGACGGGAATTCAACTGGCTGGAAGTGAAGGAAGTTTGTTAACGTCCAGTATCATGAGTCTCTACGCCGTGTACCTGGCATTCATGATGGTATCCAAAAATCCACACGGAGAATGCAATCCTCTCCTTGGAGAAAATAATTCCTGGGGCATTACTATTGGATTGCTCCTCACGACCGTCTCGTTGGCATGGACTGGATGGAGTTGGTCCGCCGAAGACAGATTGAATTTGGAAAATGCACAGTCCGCCAAGGCGGTTGGATCTCATAACCCCAATGTCAATGCCGCCGATGGATCCCTCAATTTGGATGTGCCCTTTTTGGATCCCAACCAAGCGCCCACACAGGGAATTGTTACCACCACCGCCTCTGGAAGTGACGATGAATTGTCGGAAATTTGGAAGGTACGTTCCTGTGCATGGCTGCTGCTATTACAATGATGCATTGTGTTGAGTTGACTGTGACTGATCGACTCACTCGCGCGAAACATTCTCTTTCTCATCATTCCCACAGCTAAATATTGTCTTGGCATTGATTAGTTGTTGGGTTGCCATGACATTGACCGGATGGGGAATCATTGACGCGGTCGATGCAGAATCCCATAATGCTGCCAATCCAACGGCCAGCAGAGTCAACATGGCCATTATTGGAATCAGTCAGTGGATGGCGATCTGCCTCTACATTTGGACACTGGTGGCACCCAGACTCTTTCCCGACAGAGACTTTTCGTAGAAAGAAAAAACAACAACAACAAACAATCCACTTTTTGGTTTCATTACAGCCATGTTTGGCGTCAATCCACAATCTGTCAAGTTAATTAAAAATAAAACACATGCATAATACTATAAATATTGGAGACCCCAACACTGCTCCAGCTCGTGTATTTGAAAGTCTTCACCGCAAGAAGGAATGGTAGATGATCGCCTTCTACCCTGGTAGCTGGCTAGGTCGCCACACTGCGTTTTCTCGTGGCATAGGAATCTCAAGACGAGCACCTGCCTTGATCAGAATCATTTGCTTGATCTATGAGTACCGGTACCACCGGAAGAATGCAACACAACATCGAAAAACCAAACATCATCCAAAAGCCCAAGTGGGCTGCTTCCGGTAGCTGGCTACTCTAGCTAGCTAGGCTGCACCAATGGGGCTGGCACAGCTGCAGATCGTTTCGATTGAAGTTATGTACTAGTAGCGGTATACGGTACAGTACATGCACCTCTGACACCGAGCCCAGCTGACCTGTAAGCTATTTAACTTATTAATTACACTTTCCCCGAAGGGATGATGTTCTATCGCCAACCCATCTTTTTCTCTGGGGTTGGTCTGTCAGAATCGCCAACCCATCTTTTTCTCTGGGGTTGGTCTGTCAGAATTTTGCCTCAACACGGCGGCCAGTAGTTGAACATTTTTGCCAGCTAGAAATTGTACTGAGACCTACATGGTCACCCCAAAATTGAGATTTGCTGGGGAGACATAAATTTGATTGCAGCAGCCTTCGGTTTCAAGGTTGCTCCTCTTGTTGTAGAGTGTCGAAGGTGGTTATGTTGAAGAGACAAGGAGAGAGTGACTATCCCGTTGTAGCCTTGGTTGTTTCTTCCATCCTAGAGTCGATTTGGCTTGTGTCGGCATGGTCTGCGGTTGACCACGGCATTTTACGGCTGTTGCGTTGATAGAAGTATCCGATCGCCACGGCAGAACTGGCAACAACAAGAGGCAAGGAAGTGGCAACAACAAGCGGCAGCGACCATCTCAACGGCAAGTGAGAACAAGAGGCTTACATCATATCATTTTTTCTGAAGGAGGTCGACTGAAGTGTTGTACGAAACTTCCCACTGGGTTCACGTCTCATCGGCGCCCAGGGAAGTTGGTCTCGCAACGGTCGATCTCCAATCGGAAGGCAGGTTTGAGAGAAGCTCTGCACGGCCGACAGTACTCTTGATGACGCAAATTCCATCACATCAACAACAACAATTCTTTCGATCCCGGTGCCGATTTCATTGCTGATTCCATTGCGCCGCTCGCCGCAATGAAGAAGAACAATAATTATGATATTGTCCACGCTGCTACCACTACAATTGAGTGATTCCCGTCACAAAGAACATCAATTCCCACGACACTGCTGCTCAGTCCACTGTCGACAATGAGAAAAGCAAGTTGCCTACAGCTCTTTTAGCCAATGCAACGACAGTCCTTACAGTCACAGCAGTTCGGATCATACATACGATTCTACTCTTCCAATTGCAATGACAGACAACGCCAGCAACGGACACAACAAAATTATGTTTGCCGGCCATGGCAAGGCCTTGGAAAACATTTGCACTGCTGCCGACAAAACAGGAAATTACAAGGCAATGTTGGCAGCGCTGTCTCTCCACCAATATTACGCTTTGAGTCATCCGCCGACAACAAGAAAGGATTATTTCCAACTATGGAAGGACAACAGCCTCTCCCTTCCCTGCGGTCCCAATTTTGATGGCCTTAACGGTCTCCTGCAGAATAAAGGCCGACAGAAGCAGCAACAAATTAGCTAGTTACCAACGACACCTATTTTCCGCACTCGCTTGCCCATAATGTGCTCGACATGATGACATTCCGTGCCATCAATTCTGCTCCAGCAGCTTCTCTCATGCGAACAAGGGAGTTTATAAACTCACATCCACCAGCAATGCCATCCTGCAGAAGTCCGACAACAACACCATTCTGCAGCCTTTGCCAACAAATATGGTTCGGGTTCTATAGCCTTCAACGAACAACACCATCAGTCCTCACTTGCCTTGTTTGTGTTTCGTATGCCATCTAGTATTGCAGGGTCTGTTCGCCCTCTTGGCAACACCATACAAACTAGGGGAGATTGTGTCAAGCTTAGCCTCAGTACTGCATCTGCCAAGACCAACTCGACAACTTGTCCGATGACGGCGACAACAAGTCCAAGTCACGCTGTAGAATGACGTGAGATTCGACAATGATGCTTCCTTTCCAGTCAACGCCAACCATGGCGACGCTACTAGTACTCCTATGTACAACCAATGCAACAGTGCTCATCACAGACGATAACAACAATTATTTCGGTTCCATTGCAACACCCGTCACAGCCAATATTAATAAGCTGGGTACGGCCAACAAACAACTCGCCAACAATGACAACAATTCCGGCCTCGATCTCACTGCCACGCCCACGCGCGACAAGCCAGTGGACGACCACAACGAGTCTACACTGGAGATTGAGCTTCTTGCCAACGGTCTCATTGACGACCACGGAAAGCATCCGACAAATGTCGCCATGGAGCCCTCAACATCGACAACAAGAAGGTCGCCTGCTACAAGCAAGATATTGCAATCAATTATGGGAAGAAATCGACAACAACCATCGCCTTTGATTCATCTTTCGTCGACGACAAATTACTCTGTGCCGACAAAATCAACAATGACGGACAAGACGATGCCGCGAAATTACAATTTTCCTGCCGTGGAAAGATGACAACTGCTCACTCCTTTGAGTCTACTGCGGTGGCCAACACTCGAAAGAACCACAACAATCTTGACCGTGTCCACTACACTGCTACTACAATCACAGCGGCGTTCATCAGGGACAAAAACAACAAATTGATTGCCTCGGCCAAAACTTGCCTCGCTTCTAAAAAAAGCAATTCTTTCGCTCTCATTGCCCTTGCCTATCCAATTACAAAGCCCGCTGCAATCAACCACGATGACAAAAAGACGGATGGTGCTGCTGTTGCAAAATCCCGCTTCCAGTCTACTATCGAGGGGATCACTCAAGACAGCAACAAATCGACAAATTTTTTCGCCCCCGATATCAAGAAGGAGTCACCTTTTTTTTGCCGCTGAATGCAAGAAGCACTCACTTGCCCCCCATCACCTGCGGTGTCTCCCATTACACCTGCAACCTCTATCATGCGAACAAGTGGAAGAGTGTATCCTGGCAAGACCACTTACACTGACAACAAACAGACAACAAATAGACAACAAAAGTACCATGTTCCAACCATGAAGAGTCACTTCTCATCTCCACGGAGCCTTTTACCGACCGTGGGAACAAGCTTGTTGACCATCAGTGTGTCCGGTATGTCTTCTTCTACCGTGGAAGACGCCATACGAACAAGGGGAGATTCAGACAAGCTCGCATCCGACACCTACCGATAAACCGACCCAATGTTTATTCAAGTACGACAATCCAGTCTTTGTCGACAAGTACGGCCCTGGTTCCACGGACTACGGCAACGCTCCTCAACACGATCATGAGTTCCCTCTTACCTTATTTGTGTTCGGTATGCCATCTATTATTGTAGAGTATGTTCGCCCTCGTGTCGACACCATACAAACAAGGGGAGATTGTGTCAAGCTAAGCCTCCGTACTGCATCTGCCAATGCGAATATCCCATCTAAGGATACCAATCGCAAAGCTACACAGTTCAAAGGATTCATCAGCAGAAAGACATGCATCCAATGTTCCTATTGCTTCTGTCCCTGCTCCTATTACTGTTCCCATTATTGATTCTGTTCCTCTTGATGCAGCTCCTGTATCTGCTTCTACTTTCTCCATTGATGAAGTTTCTAATGATTCCATTACTGTCCAAACATCCAACACACACAAGCAAATGTGAAGTCTCTCCAAGACCTTCTACCCCGGTCACTGTGGACACATGTCTTTCTGCTGATGAATCCTTTGAACTGCCCTTGGATTGTTTTGAACAGGGGAGGGTTAACACTTCTCTCCCTGTCCAAATCAATTCTATGAGTGTTCCTGCTGATCTTTACACCCACATCCCTTCTCCCTCTGTTTCCCCCTTGGATGACCCTTTGGATATACTTGTCAAAGATGATGACTCTTGTTCTCCTCCTGCTGATGATGCTTTTGCCATTGCTGCTCCAGACCCATCATCCTCTACCAAGTCTATCCCTCCTTTCCCTGCTACATCCAGCCCTATCTTGGCAATTGATTCTTCTGTTATTGAAGCCAGAGCTCAGGTTGATACTGGTGCTCATGTTAGTTGTACTGGTTTTCTCCATCTGCTACACAACTACAAAGACTTTGATGATTCACATCCTTGCCCTATCAAGCTTCAAGCAGCCCTTGCTGGTTCCAATGCTCTCCCCAAAGGGTATGGATACCTCCATGTTCCTGCTGACTTTGGACCTGGATACCTTCGTGTCATGGCTTATTATCATCCTGCTGTCAATGCTACTCTGATTGATGAGCGATGCTTTCCCAAGGCAGCTGGCTACCATTACACTGATGTTGTCTCTGAGATCATTTCCAAAGACTGTGAGCGCAATACCTTTGTCTATCGAGCTCGCCATATTCGCCGAACCAGCCAAGATGTTTATGTCCATGGTATCCTTGTTGATGGCAAATGCTTTACTAGCAATCTTGTTCCTTCAGTCCCAACTGATCCTACAACTTGAGTTCCTGTATACAACATCTCAACTGATCCCACCTTCGATGGCGACTGCACCCATGTCACCCATTGTAACATCCACTCCTACCAGCAAGAGGAGTACAGACTATTGGAGGAACAATTGAAACATGTTCCTCGTGAATTTCATTCTGTTCCATATCAGGTTTTCACGCCAGTTCGTGCCATCAAAGCTGCAACTAACGTTTACTGTGGCACCAACGGTTGGGTCACCCATGCGATGATTATCTCTACCATGCACACAAGCACATTGACGGTGTCCCTCAGTTCAAGCACCAAACGCCTGTGTTGGATCAAAGTCCAACTTGCATCCGAGCAAAACAAACGAAAGAGTCTGCTGGTCCCAACACCACTCAAGTTGCCACAGAGGCCTACCAAGGTCTCTCGATGGATTTCTCCTTTGCTAGTATGAAGTCCTCTGATACCTCCCGTGAAGTCGATTACCTTGGATTAAATGGTGAAACCTGCTGGATTTTGATTACTGACCACGCAACTGGAATGAAACATGGTGATCCTCGGCTGTCCAAAGCAACACCCATTCATTGGTTACGGGAGTTTCTGAAACAATATGCTCCAAAGTGTTCTGGCAAGTATGTTTACATGGACCAGGGCGGAGAACTGTACAAGAACCCCGAGGTTCAACAACTGTTTCAAAGCTTTGACTATGCAATTCGACCCACTGGAGCTGACGCGTCCAATCAAAATGGTCCTGTCGAACGTGGTCATCTCACGGTTGCCAATGCAATCCGTACCCTTTTGATTGGCGCCAATCTCCCCATCAAGTTCTGGCCCTATGCTTTTTACCATTGGCTTCGAATTGACAACAGTCTTCCCACACGGG